TGTTGTGCAATTGGCAAAATGTACGCTTCCCAGTGATTGAGGGCTCAAGCTCTTAGGCTAGGTTTACACTTGCACTACTCTGCGAGACATCCGGGACGCACGTCCCGGGATCACACGGTCCTGCACAATGCAGGCAGTGGCCCCATTGATTTTAATGGGGTGACTGGCACGTGGCAATTGCAGAAAAAAGGTACATGTACCTTTTTTTTTACGATACATGATGCTTTTATAGCCGTGATTGTGTTCGGAAGCACGGGCGGGAATCGTGACGGGAAACAGTGCGATCTGCCCGGCGTGACTGGGGTGCCTTTAGAAAACAATGGCACCCACAGTGTGATTGGTTCACACCTTTGCGACTCCTGACCGCGCGGCAATCTGTGCGGAATCGTGCACGATTGCCGCGTGGTGAGGTGTCGCCTTGGTGCGAACCTAACCTGAAGCTCTCCATAAACTGGTCGTTTTTCGTATGAAGGTTAGTATAAGTCTTATCCAAACATTCTATAAGGACATCAGAGACATGACGAATGTCATTCAAAATTTCGTTTGATTTAACATTCGGTTTTGGAATGAATAAGGGTTTCCTGAATGAAAACCACATTCACTGTTAGAATTTTGTTTATTCAAAAAAACTTCCTCAAGTACCTCATAAATATAATTTCCAAGAATGTCCGCAAAAAATTACAGAGTCAGCATACACAAGACTTTCATGCCAAATCCCTGTTCACACTAAGAGAATATCATCTTTATGTAGAAGCTGAAAAAGTCCCTTAGTGTCTCATTGACTACAAATGAGATGCTTACATTTTACCCTTTAATACACATCTAAATAAATACTCATGAGTTTATTCAGTATGACGATGTAGTGTATAGGGGTTTGTAGTATTCCATAGAAACCAATCAGATGTTGCCTTTCATACGTTTGTAGCACTAAGAACAATGAGAGATGTTTTGTCAGGTTTGCTATGGGTTACTACGCTTTGCTCCTTAGAACTGGCATTATTTTATAAATGTTCCCATGCGAAAAATGTAAGCGTTTCTTCATAGATTCTTTGGTATGACTCATTAATGGAGACAATCATTTTGGGTTTTATGACCAGGTAAAGGTTAGCAACTTTCATAAATGATGTCTAAACATGTTCTTTTTTTGCAGCATTTTCAAATAAATAAGATGTGCATCTTTTAGGATCCTTTAGTATAAATATAAAGTGTTTTATTTCTGATTACATTGTCAGTAGTTTTATTTATCATTATTATTATCATAGAGCATATGTACAAGTATAGCCCAATTCAAGTTAAGTATAAACCTAATTATCCAAATTGAGTGTTCAGTAAAACAAACATTTGTAAAAATCTCTCTCTTGTGTTACATGTATGTGAGCTTCAGCTAAACCACAAACTCTTTTGCTGCAGGCTTCTCTGCCTGGAAGCAGCATTCCTCTGCAGCAGTCTAAGATT